ACCATTACCGAGTGGCACTGCGAACTCGCCGGCTCTCTCTCTCTCTCTCTCTCTCTCTCCCCCAACACACACATCTGCACCCGCTGATTCATTTCCGAATGTATCTACCGCTAGAAGGCAGTCAGATGCATTCCATTACCTCTCTCTCTCTCTCTCTCTCTCTCTCTCTCTCTCCCCCAACACGTACTCTCACTTCCTAGTCCTGGTTTTGACGTTTCTGCACCTCCCCTCCAATTCTTTCCTCCCTCGTCGTTACGGTTAACACCTATATCTACTTCCTATACCCTGTCTCTTATACACATCTAGATGTGTATAAGATCCCGCCCCCTGCCCCCTTCCCTCCCGTTGCGCCAAAAACATTGTCTTTTTTTGGAAATTCTATTTCCAGTTTTTCTGATTTATTTAACGAATTGTATTTCTTTTTTCTTTCTATTTTCACACAGCATTCTCGCTGTGTTGTTTTTTTTTCCTCTCAATTCTTATTGTTTTAGGATAGCACCCGCCTCGGCTGTGCAACACCCGGTAGCCCAACCTCGGCAAGGATTGGGGTAGCGGTCTCCGGGGCTCGGATTGCATAGCTGGGCGAGGTACTGGCGGTTTAATGTGCCCAGTATCACTCTTTTGTTTTTGACATTTTTTTGGTTTTTTTTTCCACTATGCGGATTTCCGGCCCAACCCCAGATAATCTAGCCTGATAATCCGACCAGAGAACCACGCAGCCTGCGCAGGTCACTTGTGCAAGCGTTTTTTTAATGCTTTTTTTCTTGTTTCTTTTCTTTGGTGATGGCCCCTGAAGAGATCTGCTCAAATCTGCCCTGTTTGCACTTGTTTGCCACACTAGTATTTCGAGTGTGGCAGAGGGACTGTTCAGAGGTGGGAGGTGGTGGGAGTGGGAGGTGGCGGGAGTGACGTCCGAGACAGCGGAAGGGAGGCTGGAGACGACGGAAGGGAGGTAGGAGCTGGCGAGAGTAATGTGGGAGATGGCGGAAGGGAGGTGGGAGGTGGCGGGAAGAGAGGTGGGAAGTGGCGGGAGGGACGTTAAAGATGGCGGAAGAGAGGTTGGGGATGGTGGAAAGGAGTAAAAGATGGCGAGAGTGAAGCTGGAGATGGTGAAAGGGACTTGGAGGTGGGAGGTGGCAGGAGTGAGGTGGGAAATGGCGGGAGGGAGGTTGGAGATGGCGGAAGGGAGGTTGGAAATGGCAGAGGGGAGGTAGGACGTGGCGAGAGTGGGGTGGGAGATGGCGGAAGGGAAGTGGGGGATGGCGGGAGGGAGGTTGCCCCGACGTCCCTGAAATTGCCCCCCCAAGGCCTGCGGACTGAGGCGGCACGGGCCCTGACCTGGGGACCCGCACTGAGGCCACACGGGGCCTGACCTGGGGACCCGCACTGAGGCCACACGGGGCCTGACCTGGGGACCCGCACGGCCATGCGCCCGTGCGGGCATCCATGCATGGCCTAGCAAACATTTATTTTGCTTATTAAAAATAAAAAAATAAAAAACCTCAAAAGCACTATAAAAGCCTATTCGGATTAGCTTTCGGAGTTCGCCTAATTTTTCTCCGAATTCGCCGAGAGGGAAGCATATGCTTCATGGTAATCGCGGACCTGGACACCGAACACTTCCGGACTGTCTTCTGGACTAGTGTCTGGACCGGTCCGGACTATCCGGTGATCCGGACACCACCAGACAAAACAAAAACGGGAGGGTGGGTGGGTGGAGGAAGGGTGGGGTGTTGGCAGGGACTCCCCTGATTTGCACTTGGTAGTTCAGGCAGCAGAGCACCTATCTTGCAGCTAATCGACAAGCGCGTTCAACTAGCAGACATGCAGAGTTGTAAACAATGCAAAGCATGCTCAAGACTAAAGAAACAGAGGGGGGGAAATTTGAAAAACGCATGATTCACTTTGAAGTTCATGACTTTTTTAAAAGGGCCCAGTGCCCCAGGCTGATATTACCAATAAGAGGAATGAGGCCGGGGTCCTCACAGTCTGCCCGGAGAAACCGAACCGAACTTGCTTAGACCCAGGCTCAGCGCCCCTCATGTGGTGACTGTGATGATGATGATGATGATCCTGATGATGATGATGATACTACTGATGACGATGTTGATGGTGATAAAAAACTGTATTAATTGTAGTAAGCTATGCTATATCAACAATTCTGGTCTCCTAATCCTAGGGCAACTTCTAGCCCTCCCTGTACCAGGACATTGTAAAACAGAGACAATACCAACCTAACCAATGTCACCCCTAGCTGATCTCTCCTCGCCACCGAGCAGCCCCCCCCCGTTCGCCAGTGAATTGCCTTCCTCCCTCAGCAACCCCCAGATTTCTCTACAAGGCCTCACGCTCCTGCCGTGGCAGGTTACAAGGGTAACACCCTAGTTCCGGCCAGCGTCGTTCTGGCATCGGCAAGTTGAGAGCATAGAACAGAGCAACCTTATTGATGTCAGTCCAGGTGCAACCATCTCTGAGGTCGAAGATCCTAATAAAGAAGAAGACCCAATGCTGCTCTAGCTCTCAGAACCCCCGAAAGCTGAAAATAACATGATTGGTCCAAGAAGCTTCCATACACCACCACCGTTGTCCCACGCTGCCACCGCCGAGGAGATTCACCTCGGCCCCCAACCTGGAACAGATCCCCTCCCTCCCCCCTCCGCCAAGGCAGCTAATTCCCGGCTAGAGGGTGCCTTCGCCCTCCCCTTTGTCCCTATCTGCCCCCGCCGGGGTTGAAGGCGACCAACTCTCCCACCCCGGCCCCAGACAAGGACAAACCACAAATCTGCCCCACCCCCGACAGAGCAGCCACCTCCCACCTTGCAGCGCCCCTGTGGCATACTGCGTAGCCACACGGGCCCTGTAGGACCCATCCCGGACATTCAGCCTAAAAGCCTAAAACTTAGGATCTACAGGCCCCGGTCGTTTCAGTCTGAAAAC